CACATTCACTTTATAAAAAAAAGATTAAGTAACAATATGCATTTTATAAAAAAAAGATTAAGTAACGATATGAAATGTTGTCACATTCACTTTATAAAAAAAACAATTAAGTAACAATACCAAATGTTGTCACCTTCATTTTATAAAATAATTAAGTAACAATATGAAATGTTGTCACCTGCACTTTATAACAAAAGATTAAGTAACAATACAAAATATTGTCACATTCACTTTATAAAAAAAAGATTAAGTAACAATATGCATTTTATAAAAAAAAGATTAAGTAACGATATGAAATGTTGTCACATTCACTTTATAAAAAAAAGATTAAGTAACAATATGCATTTTATAAAAAAAAGATTAAGTAACGATATGAAATGTTATCACCTTCACTTTATAAAAAAAACAATTAAGTAACAGTACGAAATGTTGTCACCTTCATTTTATAAAAAAATTAAGTAACGATATGAAATGTTGTGACCTGCACTTTATAACAAAAGATTAAGTAACAATACAAAATGTTGTCACTTTCATTTTATAAAATAATTAAGTAACAATACCAAATGTTGTCACTTTCATTTTATAAAAAGATTAAGTAACGATATGAAATGCTGTTACCTTCACTTTATAAAAAAAGATTAAATAATAATATGAAATGTTGTAACCTTCATTTTATAAAAAAGATTAAGTAAAAATACAAAATGTTAAGTCACCTGCACTTTATCAAAAATGATAATTAAGTATATCTTGAGTAAATTCTGCCACGGAAAGCTTTAATTCTATTAAAAATACTAAACACCAAGTTAAATCTAAAAATGTTCGAATATGAATATGCTAAATATATTTTAAATTTATTTTGAATCTTTTTTGTTACTCCTGCTAACTCGTTAAAATACTTGATCTCGAATAAAGTAAAAATATTATTCTAGGTAAGAATAAAACGCGTTATCAAAATATTCAAAAGAATAACAAATGGATGAAATTCATTGATAGTTTAAAATTTGTTCCTGGACGTTGGTGTCATTTGTTTGCTTGTTTGAAATTAAGCACAAAGCTACACAATGGGCTATCTGTGCTATGCCCATCACGGGTGTCGAAACCTGAATTCTAGAGTTGTAGGTCTGCAGACATCCGCTATGCCACTGGAGGCGTTGCTATTGTATGATAACTTTCATAAGAATAATGTGCAAATATATATATATATATCGTCAGAATTCCAAAGGAGGGCTTACATATCATAAATGAAAAACACAGTGGCACCGCGGTAAGTCTATGGATTTATAACACTAAAAACCGGGCACAGCAAAGATAGCCAGTTGTGTAGCAAACAAACAAACATTACTTTTACGTTGCTCCTGAACATGTGAGGCCTGGTATAGCCTAGTGGTTAGAGTGCTTTACTCTCAACTGTGAGTGGCGGGTTCGAATCTCCGTCACCGAACATACCGTGAAGGATCATACTGATTACGAGTCAAAAGAAGTAGTGATTTTTTATACAAATCACTAGTTAGGCCCAACTTAGAATATTGTGTGCAATTTTGATATCATTCTAAAAATAATATTGACTTATTGAAAAGGGTTCAAAGAAAGGCTACTAGGGTGATACCGGTATGGGAAGGGTTAACATATCTTAACTTACTTTCTTTTGAAAATAGAAGGGAAGGGGTGGTCTTATTGTAGTTTACAAGATTAGTCCTCTCTGGGAGACCGATAGGATAAAAACCTCTGATTTCTTTCTACTATATTTTGAATACAATAAGATAAGGACACATGGGAACATTTGAAAAGACGTGTAGGAGATTCATTTACCACAGTTTTATGCTTCTAATTGGGTAATTGGTTTATGGAATGAGTTGCTATCGATAGTAGTAAAAACCAGATCATTACAAGAGTGTAAAAAAAGAATCGATAATTTCCTAAAATATAAAAGACGAGTTTAAGATTTTACTTTTTCTCAAGGAGTGAACGTGCATGGACAGCCTTAAAGAACTAATGGTCACTTGTTGACATTATGTTATGTTTAAATGAATAAAAAAACCTTTTGTTCCTTTCCAGGTTTTTATAGGTGTTACCTCTAAGACTGTATTGATTAACATGTTCGTGCTATTTGACACTTTGTTTAACATTCTGATTTACTCTCTACTCCTTATCTTTTCTTAATAATATACAAATTCATTGTTTTATGTTTTATCTCCTCACAGTCTATGCGAACTTGTACTTTTACATACTAATATTAAAAGAAAGATAGATGTCGCCACTTTTTCAATTATCCTCCGGTGGGACAGCGGTAAGTTTACGGACTTACAACGCTAAAATATGCAGTTCGATTCCCCGCCGTAGACACGGCAGATAGCTCAATGTGGATTTTCTCTAAAACTAACTTTTTAAATTTTCAACCGGCCCGGCATGGCCAGGTGGTTAGGGCGCTCGACTCGCAAGCTGAGGGTCGCGGGTTCGAATTCCCGTCGTACCAAACATGCTCGCCCTTTTAGCCGTGGGGGCGTTATAATGTGACGGTCAATCCCACTATTCGTTGGTAAAAGAGTAGCCCAAGAGTTGGCGGTGGGTGGTGGTGACTAGCTGCCTTCCCTCTAGTTTTACACTGCTAAATAAGGGACGGCTAGCGCAGATAGCCCTCGTGTAGCTTTGCGCGAAATTCAAAAAACAAACAAACAAACATATTTTAAACAGGTTCTTCAATATATTAAAAATGAAAATAAAAAAGAACTTGCTATTTTTCTCTCTATCTGTCTGTGTACAGTCTTGTCGTAAATCCAATATTGGAAATAATTATGGAGATAATGAGTGAAATGTTATATGAAATTCAAACATCGTATGAAAATCAATTGCGCCAAAGTACAGTCACATCTGAAGAGCTTACACTGTTTTACCCAACCAATCCGACAGTGTCACATCAGGACAGAAATGTCACATGTCATACGTGAATAAGTCAACGTTTCGGCGGATAAAGGCTAGACTGCGTCAGATTGAGTGTATATGTTAAATATTATTTATAGCAGTTTGTTTCGACAAACTATTATTTGCTCCATTTTTGAACTATAAATGTTAAATATTGTTTGCAGTATTTTTTTTTGTTAAATAAGTGTAACGCTTACGTATTGTATTACTCAACTGTAAATGTTAAATATTATTTGCAGTATTTTTTTTACTGTTAAACAAGTGTAACAATTACATATTGCATTGCTCAACTGTAAATGGTAAATATTATTTGCAGTAATTAGTTTTTACTGTTAAACAAGTGAAACAATTACGTATTGCATTGCTCAACCGTAAATGGTAAATATTATTTGCAGTAGTTAGTTTTTACTGTTAAATGAGTGAAACAATTACGTATTGCATTGCTGAACTGTAAATGGTAAATATTATTTGCAGTAGTTAGTTTTACTGTTAAACAAGTGAAACAATTACGTATTGCATTGCTCAACTGTAAATAGTAATTATTATTTGCAGTAGTTTGTTTTTACTATTAATTATGATCTTTTTTAAAGGAGTATTACCGTGCGTCCCAACTTAATGAAGGATTAAGTGTATCTTCTTGGTAATTTTTACAAAAGAAACATTGTTTTAAACATAATTATATTTCATACATCTTTCAGATAATAAAATTGTGTACGGCCATTATTCGTGAATGTTTTAAAATATGCTGTATACAAACGAGACTATTCACGTCATTGAGGGAATGACGAGTGTTTTCCCAAAATGATATGTTCACTCTTCGATACTTTTGCCATCTATTGCATCTGATATTAACTACAAATTTTAAGATAAAAAAACAACAACATTATATTGTTTACGTTTTTAACAATCTTGGATATTAAGAAGTAGATAAAACTCAACAATTAAAAAAAATATTATTATATTTCTGAAAATTAAGCTATTGGATCAAACATTATTTCATTTCATAGTTTTCTTTTCCCATAAATCTTTATTTGACGCGAAACTATAGAAATATGTCATGGCCTTCAACAGCAGTGAAATACAATTAAGTTCTATAACATGCTTAAAATGTATCATGAGATTCTGGATTCTATTTTCAGTTTCTGCTAGAGCTAATCAATGTTTACCAAACGTATCAGAGGTAGTCGTTAACACAGGACCATTTTTTGGCGGGAAAATTGCTGTGGAAAACAATGACGACGAGAGATGTGTTGTAAACGGGAACAGAAGCAGCCCTCAAGATTCTTACACAATCAACATAGTCCATGATATATGCGGAAGCAAAATAATGGTAAGAACCTTTTTACATGTTCAACAAAGACATTTTAACTACTGGCGTAATACGCTAGATTATGTTAAGTTATTAACATGTAACTACGCAGGACATTTTAATTATCTTCCACTTGGTTTTGAATTAATAAATATAACAATATTAATACGAAAAAGTCACTCGTGATCATATAGACACGTAAACCTCACCCTATAAGGTACAGGTTAAACATGTTAATTCAGCTCTATATTAGTGTCTCGCATTTATTATTGCACATAATATATCATATCTGCTACGGACTTAAGTTTGAGCTACACATGGCCGGTATTACTTGGAGTTAATTGTTATTGAATATATATGAGAAATGTCTCGTGCATCAAGTTGTTTTTATGATACAAATATATATATATTTGAGACTTAGGGCAGTATTATTTATAAAACAAAGTTTTTAGATAGTAAAAAGGTCGTATTGCTTTGTTTGAATTTAAGCACAAAGTTACACAATGGGCTATTTGTGCCCTGCCCACCAAGGGTTTCTGGCGTTGTAAGTCCGCAGACATGCCGCTGTGCCACCGGGGAGGTGTAAAATGTGTTGCACTGTTACTGTTAAAAAAGGGGAGAATAACTCAGTTTTGATTTGGTTTTCTAAACCAAAGCATGTTCAACGTAAGCCGAATACAAAGTTTGTTGATATGAACGTATTTTCTGATCTATTTCAACTTTTAATCTAAAAGTTTGAAAATCTATATGTTAAATTTGGATTAAAAAATTTATTTCTTGTAAATAAAGCTTTTTAAATCCGTGAATTAGTGAATTTATTTTTATGGATTTATCTAGGTATGTGCATTGTTGTAGATGTGTGATTTATGTACATTCAATTGATACGTGTGCTGCACGTGCAGTGTTGTGGGTGTGAGTGGTATGTGCATTCGGCGTTGGATTCTAAATTCTAAATAATATCTTAAAGATAAGTTGGTTACTGGTCTTGTGTGCATATTTTAAACTGAATCAGCAGAAAGTCTGATAGAGATAATATACTCAACTCTAAATGTTTTTTTATTGTTTTTTTTTTCAGGTTACGTATATACTGGTCGAAGTGATTTGATTCCTATATATATGTATATACAAGCGTAAAGTAAACTAAAGTACAGAGAGAACAATGTATTGTATTTATAGTCCATCTAGACGACTACATATCTTCTGGATATTTTGAAAACAAATGTTATACAGCACAATAATTGTCTTTAACTAAATATGTAGAAAAAATTTCAAAATATCTTTTTGTAAGTACACAATTACATTTCAATTTTACGTAAAACAAAGACTTTGTTAATTCTCACACTGTCGTTTTGTTTTATATATAATATATATATATATATTTTTATTACTTTTCATTTTATAGCTTGCTTTGATCGTAAGTTCATATTAATTATATTATCTAAACAATGATGGGGTGATGCCTCCACAGTACTACGTGTCTGCTATTCTAAATTATTTCTCAAATAATCGTTTTACACAGTGGCATTTGAGAGAAGATTAGAAGAACTAGTTTTATCTATTGGAAAAAAAATATATTAATAATAAATACTTTATATTCAAATTTTTATTAGTGTAGTTGAAAAGTAATATTAGTTTGATTACGTGTAGGCGTAATTCAAATATACTTAAAATGTACATACGTATCTATGATTTTCACGAGACTTTCATTGAACTCATCCATGTCTGAAGATTTAGATAGATTTCAATGATAATTTGTGGTATATTTAAGGTATACGATAATAACAAGCTGTGTAGGGGAAAGATAGAATTATTGAATAATGCATAATTTTACTGCATTTTTTAAGAAGATTCTCTATTTCTTATCATGATTCTATGTTAATGTTAATTGATTTTCGAAGAGCAATAGCCACTCTGAATGAATCTTTTCACACCAGAACTGATGGTCTGGTGGTTAGGCCTGATATGGTTTGTTGGTTAGGCCTGGTATGTTCTGGTGGTTAGGCCTGGCATGGGCTGGTGGTTAAGCCTGGCATGGCCAAGAGGTTAGAACGCTCGACTCGCAATCTGCGGGTCGTGGGTTCGAATCCCCGTCCCACCAAACATGCTCGCTCTTTCAGCTGTGGGGGCGTTATAATGTGACGCTCAAACTCACTATTCGTTGGTAAAAGATTAGCCCAAGAGTTGTTGATGACTAGCTGTCTTTCCTCTAGTCTTTCACTGCTAAATTACGGACGACTAGCGCGGATAGTCCTCGTGTAGCTTTGCACGAAACTCAAAACAATCCAATCCAGAACTGAAACTTCCATGCTTACCCTTCATTAAATATTAAGTCAAGCTGTTGTTTTTACAAAAAAAAAGAGAGATCTTTACGTTCTACTTCCCAAATTATTTTTTTAGGATTTTTAAAGTTTACATGTATGAACGTTTTCGAAACAAAATGTGATCTACTGAAAACAGGCGATACATTTGAATAAGCCCCCCCCCCCCCCCCCAGTGGCACAGCGGTATATCTGCGGACTTACAACGCTAGGAACCGGGTTTTGATACCCGTGGTTGGTAGAGCACAGATAGCCCATTGTGTAGCTTTGCGTTTAACTGCAAACAAACAAACAAATATTCGAATAGAATGGGAAAACAAAACGAAGCACAGAAAGGCTGTTTTACTTCAATGGTTGAAATAATAAACTTAGTAGTTGTCATGAAAAATTACATTTCATAGCTACCATTACTCACCAGTTTTAATTAAGGGTTAACTGTTTTTATTTTCATTATGTTCCGGATTATTCTGAGAATTAAATAGGTATGTAATGTAAGTAAAACAAATAAAAATTATAGATATAATTGTCTCACGGCCACTATAATGTTTGTTTTTAAATACAATAACATATTGTTAAGTAAGGAATGTCTCAACAAATTATACTCTTGATCGACACGTTTTATTTTGACCACAGTCGAAGTTGAGTACATTGCCCCCAAAACACGCTAACCCAAAACAAAATATATCGGCAAATTTAAACGATTCCGTTCTATGCTAAACATCGCCACCCCCCAGTGGCACAGCGGTATGTCTGCGGACTTACAACGCTAGAAACCGGGTTTCGATACCCGTGGTGGGCAGAGCACAGATAACCCTTGTGTAGCTTTGTGCATAATTAAAAACAAACAAGCTAAGCATCGATGAGGAAAATACCTTTAAAGCTTAATGCTGCAACTTCTTTGATCAATTTTAAAGACTGCGTCATCCTAATAAATAATAAAAAAAAGATTTTAATTTACGATATGTTTTTTTTTTTCAGAACAATTCTAGGGTAGATACCACGATTGTGGTCCATGAAAACAGAAATATTATCACCCAAAACTCGCGGCGATATTTAGTTCAATGTAACCTGATACCGAAGGCTTTCACCATCCGTGCTGCGTGAGTACTTGAATTAGAATAGGAATCCATATTTCTTATTGAAATGAATAGAAAAAGATAAAAATTTGAGAAACAATCTCTTACTCGAGTAATTAACTAAATATCTGATTAAGATAATAAAGCAGGTGCATAGGACTACGAATTTATATATAACATATATATCTAAACACTCATATCTATAAATAAAATACGAGACACTATAGTTTATAGTTTATAACTATGTAATAGACATTTAAGTAGATAATTACGATGATAAAACAAAGTAATTAATATTTTAGTCGGGATTATATAACCAAGAATTCAAGTTGATACTTCATACTGTATAAGTAAGTAATTTAGATAATACGACGAAGTGTTGAAGTTGAGTTAATATAATAAAACACTGAAGTTGCTAAATGAGGTGATATGTTATGTAAAATTTTCTGTTCCATAAAATACAGTTTTATTCTTAAAATACGTAGAAAGTATTATCATGTAGGAATTCGCGTCATGGAAAATGACCATAGAAAATTCCACATAGATCCCAGCTGCTTGATCAAAATTCCGTGTAAAAACATGGGAAAGGACCTTATGAAATTTCTTCCATGGACCTCAGCTGCTTGGTCAAAGTTCCGGGTAAAAAACGTGGGAAAGAGCCTTATAAAATTTTTCCCATGGACCTCAGCTGCTTGGTCAAAATTCTGAGTAAAAACGTGGGAAAAGACCTTTGGATTATGTGATGCTTCAGTGGGTTTCTTATTTTTATCAACAATTCTTAACATATCCGATGTAGGTTTATCAACTTTTTCTTCATTGTTATTTAAGCATCTCAACTGTATTTATTTATATATAAATTTAGCTATGCTTTTAACTTTATTTTTTTTTTTACACAATAAGTTAGATATTTTATTTCACCTATAAAGAAAAAAAAATAGAAAACATGTTTTCAAATTTTTATTTTTTTTATATGCCTAAATAAACCAATTATGAAGACTGAAATACCACTGCATAGATCATTAACATTTTTGTTTCATAGCGTTTATATTCCAAAACCCCACAAAAATGGCTTAAACATGAAACCTGTGGATCAGGATAAAGACGTGAAAACTCCAGATCAGTATATAAACATGGAACTGGTGGATCGTAATATAAAGATGAATTCGGTGGGTGATGATATTAGTGATACCAGAAATGATATTTTCACCTATGATCACTATAAGCAAAACAATGTCAGAGACTCAAGATTTTTGGCGCAACAAAGTGCCTCGGTGGACAAAACTGTTGAGACAACAGGTAATTGTTTGAAAAATATTATGTTTATTTTACGAGAACAACAGATAAAAATAAATTACTATTTTTTGTAATATGTTTAATAGAATAAGATAAAACGTTTATTGTTTGCCTAGAATAACATTTTTAGTACCTTTTTTCTCTGACTTCGAGTTCGAAAAAAGAAATCCGAGGTTTCTCTTATCGACTGAATGAACAGAAACATATATATTTGTATTCTGGTTTTTAATCTGGATGAAAACGAATTCATATGTGAAAACATTAAGGTTCTATCGTTTATTTTTTTGTAATGTGATTTCCAAACTTTTTTCTTTCTTACTTGTTTTTAGCTATCATAGATATTCAGTTACTATGGTTTATACCACAAAATCATATCGTCATGGATATACAATTATTATAGTTTATACTACAAAATAATATCATCATATATATACAGTTATTATGGTTGATACTACAAAATCATATCATCATAGATATACAGTTATTATGGTTGATACTACAAAATCATATCGTCATAGATATACAGTTCTTATGGTTGATACTACAAAATAATATCATCATATATATACAGTTATTATGGTTGATACTACAAAATCATGTCATATCTGGTGTAAGTTAGTTGTATGGCTTCATTGTTACAATTTAGTTTCGTGTTAACTTCTTGCATCATATCAAAAACACATCTGCTCATGATACGTGTGTTATTATTTGATTATCACGCGTAATCGTAACGTTTAAAGTTCACAGGCTAATTCTACTTAAGGAAAGACCGAAATAACAAGAAAACGTTGTAGTTTATTACGTTGAACATTAGTGAGACTGTATTAGCTGTCACATGTCATAACTTCATTACAAAATGTTGTTTCTTTAGTATCATATCCCATACAAGTTTAGGCCCAGCATGGCCAAGTGGTTAGGGCGCTTGACTTGCAATCTGAGGATCGCAGATTCGAATCCGGTCCACCAAATATGCTCGCCCTTTCAGCCGTGGGGGCGTTATAATGTGACGGTAAATCCGACTATTCGTTGGTAAAAGAGTAGACCAAGAAGTGGCTACCTTCCCTCTAGTCTTTCACTGCTAAATTAGGGACAGCTAGCTCAGATAGCCCTCGTGTAGCTTTGCGCAAAATTCATAACAAACAAACCATACAAGTTTAGACTCGAGCGAAAGACCAGGTTGAATATATATATATAACCTGTTTTTTGTCAGTTGTGTTTATTTAACAGATACTTACTACTTTTTCGACTTAATTATATTCCGAGCTTCACGAGTTACATACGGATAAGATCTGAATTTAGACTAAACGCAGGGAGTTATAAAAGTTCAGTTTGTACATAAATTACATACGTTAAAAATAAACTTTTTAAATCGCTATGTTTTAACATGAACGAGAGATATAAATTACATACGTCAAAAATAAACTTTTTCAATTTTACATCGATATGTTTTAACATGAACAAGAGACAGCAAATCCGAGTAACTTCATGGATCTGTTGATATTAACAGAAATATGCTAATTGTGTACTTATTTTTTAAGATTGAACAAATTAAACTTCTAGTATTTTCTTATACTCACTTGATAAACAGTAATAATTAGGCAAGTGAAACGAAGATGGCGCTACATGGTGGATAAATTTGGATACCAAATTTGCATAAAACTTAAATGTATTAAAACCGACTCAAAATGTGAAGTGTAAGTTGTAATTAAACCCTAAATCCATAAACATGCTGCCACTCCAATTTTCACACTTAACTCCATATATATGTGTTCCGTAAACAAACTGCAGCTTTTAATAAGTACCTTTTGTTGCTATTTGACAAATTACATGTATTTATATGTTTCTACTATGTATTGTTAAATAATAACAATATCCTAAACATCGAAAGTATTTGTCTGAACATTTTGATGCAAATATGACTGAATAATAAATATTATTTTCAATAGATGTTGGAATTTGTTGTATGAACAAATTTTTCGAGTATTCTTTGATCGACGTATGTAGAACCAACCATTTTTAAGCCATTAGTTTTGTGAAAACATCATTAATTTTATTTATATACAGATGAAATAACATCTTAATTAGTTATATGATTCTGTTTATTATCTATTGTTCGTGTGGATTTTACTAGATGGCAGTAGCGTGTTTAGATATTATTTTCTTGCTTCTTGTGTATAATGTTAAAATAATATATAAATAACACACCATGTTAAAATAGATACACAATTAAAACATGTTTCAATTCAAGCCAATCCATGGCCTCTAAAATGTGCACTCTACATGTTTCCTGATGATGACGTGATGGACGCCGAAACGCGTAGAGACCACATTTTAGAGGCCATAGATTGACTGACCTGAATTGAAAAATGTTTTAATTGAATAGCTAGCGGGTTTATTTTCTAATAACGTTTTGTTTGTTTCTTTGTTCTTAAGCGCAAGGCTACGCAATGGGCTTGAAACCAGATTTTTACCGTTATTAGCCAACAGATTCGCAGCTAAGCCACCGGGGGAGGGGATCTTCTAGTGACGAAACTATTAATTTATGAAAGGGTCGAACAAAGCTAAAAACATTTTATCTATTCACTGAATAAGTTGTAAACATAATAAATTATTAACTACAACACGTTTTTACGTGAGAGATCATGAACAAATGCATCATTCAAAACATTCACTAGGATACATTTTCAATTATTACTTGAAATATAAGGAAAAGATGTTACAAATATCTGATCTTCAAAACTCACATTGTAAAGTAAGAACAGATTATGTGCATTTTCCAAAATTTATAAGTAAAATATCATTTGTTTTTAAGTTATAGTATTTTATTTCTTTATGTTCTTTAGCTTTGTAATTTTTTATATGCTTAACTCTTTTTTTATATATAAAAAGTTTGTTTATTTCTTTGTTTGTGTTTAAGCGCAGAGCTACACATTGGACTATCTGGGCTGTGACAACTTTTAGCGTGTAAACTCTCAGGCTTACCTCTGAGTCACTGTAAGATAAAGATAGGAAATATCAGTATAAAAGCTAAAGGCTAAAAGTAAGATAGCCCCTTAGTGGCACAGTGGTATGCCTACGGACTTATACTGCTAGAAACCGGGTTTCAATACCTGTGGTGGGCAGAGCACGTATAGCCTTTTGTGTAGTTTTGTGCTTAATAACAAACAACAACAACTTAAAGTAAGTACAACTTTCTCAACACTATTTGTCTTTGAAAATGACATGCTTGTTTGATATTCATAGCGGGCGTGGCCTAGTGTAAAGACGGTTACGGATCGAAGTGTCCAAGGTTTGAGATGTGATTCCGCTGAACACATTTCTGCGCTTTCAGATGAGGGGCCATTATAAAAGCGACAGTCACCCCTTGTGGAGGCGGGTGCTGCTGTCTGTCTGTCTTCCCTCTGATTCAGTAGTTAGGAACGGCTATACTTGAGCCATAGGGACCTCAGACTTGGCAGTTTAGCCCACGTTCATATGAAATGCTTTTAAGTTGGAAAATGGAAATTAATGTAATTTTTAAATGTCGAAAATAGCAGGAAAGTGACCAGCTTAAAGATAAGTTTTATTAAAGATTTAAGTACTTTAACTTACTACAATAAAAATAACTTTATTCGTACTTTCAACAGCACAGTTTTGATTATATTTTATTCCAGATTCTAACGCTATTGGACAGCTGACTTTGATGGTTATCCTGGTAATTGCCGCTGTTGTAGGATGTACTACCGCTATATGGTGGCTAGTAGTGTCAAAGAAACGGGGCGAAACGGATATCAAGCCAGCGTCTACGACAGGATCGTACGTTAGGTTTTCACCAGACAATGATACCTTGATGCAAGAAGTACTCCAAGACGAGAAAGACAAAAATATTTTTCAAGCCTATTCTACACCTGTAACACTGAAATCGGTGAAATCACTCCCAGAAGTATATTCTTCGAACTAAATAGTCAAGAAACTACAGAAGATTCTTTGTTCGAAGAAATGTTTACAGGGTCTAGTGACGTCATTTACTTTTTAATACGTAAACTGCTATAACTTTTTCCAACGTAGAAGGTTTTGAAATTATGAAGTTTAAAATATTTTAAACGTTAATATCCATTTGGTAATTACATGCCTAAGATAAATAAATGCACTTCTTAAATGTAGAAACTTTAGCTTTAAAGAATAAACAATATCATTAGTAATGTGACAACAGCGCCAAAAAAAATGTTCACTTACTGAGGAATTTTGTCTTTTTTTTCATGAAATGTTACATAACTCGGAACTGGTTAAACCGCCAATTGAGTAAGGCTAAGATATAAAAATAGAGCAAAGTTTTCCCTGTTATTTTGCCTTCGTCGAAAGTCACAAAGAAGCAGTTTTCAAACGGTTATAAGATGGAAAGAAACTCTAAGAGTTCTGATTTCACTAGACTTATGTTATTGTTTATTATTTTTCACGAACTCTTAATTAATGGAATACATTATGAAGTGATTAAGGTTATAGATTTTTATATCAATATAAAGCTACGTTATTTTTCATTAAGATTATGAAACGATTAAGGTTTTAGATTTTTATATCAGTATAAAGCTGCGTTATTTTTCATGAACATTTAATTAATGAAAGACAGTATGAAGTGAATAAGGTTTTAGATTCTTATATCAATATAAAGCTATGTTATCTTTCATGAACATTTAATTAATGAAAGACATTATGAAGTGAATAAGGTTTTAGATTCTTATATCAATATAAAGCTATGTTATCTTTCATGAAAATATTAAGGTTTTAGATTTTAATATTAATAGAATTCATTAATTTAAATAAATAAATATATATATATATATTAAAATTGTTCCAATGAAAGCCAGCTTAAAAACCAAAATGTAAAAGATAATTGTTTAAATTGCTTTTGAATAAGAATGTTTGTAACAGCTCAAAAATTAAACATGAAAAAATACAGAAAAAGTATATTAAACCAATTAGAATTATAGTTTTGTGCTATGGTACTACTTTAGTTAATTACACTGATTTGTTAAGAGTTCGAACATGTGCCTAATGTAGGCCTAAAACTGACAGATCGCTAGGTAAAAAGTATTTTATAAGAAAGAGTACACGAGACAAGCATATATGATTACTTGTGTATTTACTCTGCTATGGTGCTACTTTAGTTAATTACACTGATTTGTTAAGAGTTCGAACATGTGCCTAATGTAGGCCTAAAACTGACAGATCGCTAGGTAAAAAGTATTTTATAAGAAAGAGTACACGAGACGAGCATATATGATTACTTGTGTACTTACTCTAAACGTTACGCTTCGTTGAGTTTCTCAAAAATATTGTCAGGTTGGTGTGAAACCGTAAAACTGGATATTCGAAAACTAAATAGGCCTACTAATACATTCTTCGTGTTTTTGTTTTTGTATTTTTTTATAAAAATAATTATTCAACCTGATGTAGGGAAATGAAGTAGCAATAAATATTTTAAACAATATAAGATAAAGCGACTTAAAGGCAATAAATAGAATATATTGTACTAATTTTCAATTTTCAAAGTACCGTTTTTGTCCAATTAATAGCCACTAACATTAACAACAGTTAAAGCAAAAACAACAACAAAAAATGTCTAGCTTATGGTAATCGGCAATGATCTCAATAATAAAACTGTAGTTTCGAAATTAAGCTTGGTAAGTTTCAATAGATTAGCTTTCGTGCTTTTAGTATTATAAAACTTAGTTCCATTGTCAAATCTACTGAATTATAATTTAGCGCCAGTATAAAGCATATCTGTTAGTAATAGTCTTGTTTCTTACAACTTAATTTAAGTATTTTTTATGTATCATCGTTTAATATCAAATAGCATTAGCAAATTCTGTTCTGACTATTACTATATGAATATACACATATATATAGTAAACACATACATATTTCAGATGTGTATTTGTCTACTATCGGTCACATTGTTTTTTATTCTCATTCACATGTAGCTTCTTTACTATACTTCTGAGTTTCTAAAGTTTACATACACGTGTTTGTGTGTGGAAGAGAAATAAGCATTGTTAATATTAAATATTCAACCATCATACTTGGAATGGTACAATAAGGACAACAGCTATCATGTTAACGCTGTTACCAGTTAAATTATATAAAATAATAGTACACACATATAAAAACCCTCAACGCCTCACCATATAAAGGTAATGTATATGTAATTACTCTACTAGATTCAATCTTATCAGTGTCTTAAAGGTCATTTTTAACCGAAAAAGCTTTGACAAATTTAACATATTTTTTAAAACCTAATACTTTGTTTTTGTAAAGTGCAAAGCTACATATTGTGATTCTATGCTGTGCCTACTGCGAGTACCTAAACCCGATTTTTAAAGTTATAAGCCTTCAGACTTACCAGTGAGCCACCAGAAGGAAACAAGTAATAAGGTTTTTGTACTTGGTATGTTTAGCTCAATGGCACCATGTGCAAAACAGGGGCTGAACGGCCAGATCAGAGACCTCAATGGTATGTCTGTCTCTAATTTTGAGCTATTGACCAGAAGGAAATCGGCAGCACTTGCCATGTCAAGGACTTTGTCTGGATTCGAACCGAATAATGGAATTGACTGTTATTTATAACACACCCATAGCAGGAAAAATAAAACCACTCCCGGTACAGGTAACATTGAAACGCACAAGTTGTATTGCTACATGTGAACATTCAAACACTCACATACACAGATTATCCCTAAATGTGAACGCATACCCACTTAGTAATACCACATGTGAATATACAAACACGCACCCGGTACTACCAGATGTTAACATTTAAACATTCATATAGTGTTAATAGATGTCAACATTCAAACACATACACACCTAGTACTACCACATGTGAACACTTAAACATTCATATAGTATTAATAGATGTCAATATTCAAACACATACACACCTAGTACTACCACATGTCAACATTCAAACATTCATATAGTATTAATAGATGTCAACATTCAAATACATACACACTGAGTACTACCACATGTGAACATTCAAACATTCATATAGTATTAATAGATGTCAACATTCAAACACATACACACCTAGTACTACCACATGTGGACATTAAAACATTCATATAGTATTAATAGATGTCAACATTCAAACAAATACACACCTAGTACTACCACA